AAAAAAAAACACAAAAAAACAAAAAAATGAGGTATGCCTGGAGTGGCCTGGAAAAGACCAATGTGTTTCTGGGGACAACCACCTTAGTAAGCTGTGTGTCAGGGCAAAGGCAAGGGAAAAAGGGTCGTTGTCCTGATACTTACAAACTTTAAACGGCTGTTCTGTGGATCTCAGCTTATTGACAGTGATGCTATCAGGCACAAACACCCAAGGCACTTGCCTAAGCCTCTACTACTTGTGGCAGCCCCCCAGATATTTCCCCGCCCGGAGCCAATGTTGTGACTGGGCTGGCTCTTGTGGTTATTATGACTGTAAGACACATCTCAGCAAAAAAGCCATCAGGGAACTTAGAAGAACAAAATTTACTACTTACAAACCCTGGAGAGTGCACAGCATGCCTGAGGGCCACACAGTGAGGTCAGAAGGAGAGAGCGAGTGTGGAACTGCGGCTCTGCCTTCATTGGGGAGGAGGGCAGGGTGTCTCGGGTTTCACAGGTTCACTCTTCATTGGTGAATTTAAAACATAAAAGTGGGGATTAGGGTGAGGAAAGGAAAAAGCATGGTCACTCAGGTGGTCAGTTATCTAGTCACCCAGCGCTTTGGAAAGGGGAACTTCATCGGTGGGAGGTGGCCTAGTCCCTTATCTAGTTGTTTTGGCAGTAGCTGTGTCAGAGAGCTTGCAATGTGTTTATTTAAGACGTATTCTTTCAAATGGAGGCCTCGGCATCCAAAAGCTCATTGTAAGGCACTTACACTACAATCAAAAAAGCTTATCATCTGACTCTTAACACTGCAGTATACATATAAATTAAAATTATTGTCATGCTAAAAACACTTGAAATCAGTATGGGCCCAATAAACTTCAAAAAGAAAAGTCAGCCAGACCTGTGGCATAGTTGTTAAGTTCATGTGCTCCACTTTGGCGGCCCAGGGTTTGTGGATTCAGATCCCAGGCACAGACCTAAACATCGCTCATCAAGCCATGCTGTGGCAGCGTACCACATATAAAACAGAGGAAGACTGGCACAGTTGTTAGCTCAGGGCCAATCTTCCTCACAAAAAAAAAAAAAAATACACATTAACTGAAAAATCAGAAAAAAACACTATTCAAATTTATTCACTATAGCTGAAAGATCTTATACGAGTATTTCTCACATAAACATTTATTGAAAAAGAACTAGAAATTCATTATTCAGTGATCCATTCTTTAAATGAGGTATTGACAAAGACAATACCCCATCTATAACTTCTATAATATTTCTCTCCTTGTGTGAATTTTCTGGAGCAGTACACAATAACCAGCATGAGGTGTTCCAACATTAATTTCAGTTATAGTATTCCTCCACAGAAAGTATGACTTACTGAAACCTTTGACTATTTCATGCATTCGTGGAGTTGCTATCCAGTGTGCATTCTCACGTGGTTTCGAAAGGACGAGGGCCACTTGAAGGCTTTTCCACACTGTTCACATTCATGGGGTTTCTCTCCAGTGTGCATTCTCACATGTTTCTGTAAGGACGAGGACCAACTGAAGACTTTCCCACACTGTGCACATTCATACGGTTTCTCTCCAGTGTGAGTCCTCACGTGACCCTGAAAGGATCTGGAGGAAGTGAAGGCTTTCCCACATGTTCCACATTTATACACTTTATCTTCAGTGTGAATTCTCACGTGTTCTCGAAAGGTTGAGGGCCAACTGAAGGCCTTTCCACACTGTGTACATGTATAAGGTTTCTCTCCAGTGTGAGTCCTCACATGACCTTGAAAGGACTTAGGAGAACTGAACGCTTTCCCACAGTCTTCACAGTTATAGAGTTTCTCGCCAGTGTGCATTCTCACGTGCACTTGAAAGGTTTCAGGCCAACTGAAGGCTTTCCCACAGTCCTTACACTCATAGAGTTTCTCTCCAGTGTGAGTCTTTTCATGTCTTTGGCAAGACTGGGGATAACTGAAGGTTTTCCCACACTGTTTACATTCATATGGCTTCTCTCTAGTGTGTGTTATCATGTGCCTCCGAAAGGTGGAGGGATAAGGAAAGGCTTTCCCACATTCCTTACACTGATATGCCTGCTCTCCAGTGTGGGTTTTCTCATGTCTAGTCAGACTGGAGGACGCATTGAAGGCTATGCTGCATTGCTTGCATTCATAGCTTTTCTTGGCTGTGTGCGTCTTTATATGTTGAGTGAGGGAGTAGGGATGACGAAAAGTTTTCCCACAAACTTTACATTCATAGGGCTTCTCCCCAGTGTGTATCATCATGTGTCTTTGAAACACTGAGGGATAAATGAAGACTTTCTCACATTCCTTACATTTATATGGCTTTTCTCCAGTGTGAGTTTGCACGTGTCTAGTAAAACTGGAGAACTGACTGAAGGTTTGCCTACATTGTCTGCACTCATAGGTTTTCTCTGAAGTGTGGATCTTTATATGTTGCCGGAGGGAGTAGGAATGGTGAAAGGCTTTCCTACATAACTTACATTCATATGGCTTCTCCCCAGTGTGTGTGATCATGTGTCTTTGAAAGATTGAGGGATAAATGAAGGCTTTCCCACATTCCTTACACTTATATGGCTTCTCTCCACTGTGAGTCCTCAAGTGTCTGGTAAGACTGGAGAACTCACTGAAGGCTTTCCCACATTGCTCGCATCCATAGTTTTTCTCTGTAGTGTGACTCCTGATGTGTTGAGTGAGGGAATAGAAATAAGGAAAGGTTTTCCCACATAATTTACATCCATAAGGGTTCTCCCCAGGGTGAATCCTTAGATGTGAGGGACAAATGTAGCTCTGCTTGCATTCCTGACACTGATAGTGTTTACATCCATGGCAAGACCTGACATGTCTCTTGAGGGAAGAAAGATGCAGGACGGCTTGTCCACACCTGGTGCATTCATACGGTTTTACTCTGGGAAAACAAGTCTTATACAGATTAAGACTGGGAATGTGACTGCAGGTTTCTCTGCATTGATTTCCTTCATTACGTTCACAGAATCTATCCACCACGTGATTTCTGTCAAAAGTGAGAAGCATTTTATTAACAGTATGTTTATTAAAGATTTGTTTTTACTGATTAATAAAGTCTTAAAACTCCCTATCTAACCACATTTCAGTACACAGGAAGTTTTTCTACCTTCTCTGAATTGTCTGAAAGTAGAATTAACTAAATGCTCTGGAAGACAGCTCAGGCATATTCACTATTCATACACTATTTGTTATACAGAGGTTTCTCTCTATTTCTAACTGAATTATATTTCAAAACTCAATGTCTAATTAAATTTTAAAAATCTTTTTGTTAAAATTCTTGTGAATAAACAAATTTGGAGCTAGGATTATAATTTTCTATCTTTTCTTTTGGTGAGGAAGATTGGCCCTGAGATAACATCTGTTGCCAATCTTCCTCTTTATGCTTGAGGAAGATTGGCCCTGAGGTAACATCGGTGCCAATCTTCCTCTATTTTGTATGTGGGTCACTGCCACAGCATGGCCACTGCCAAGTGGTGTAGGTCTGTACCTGGGAACCAAACCTGGGCTGCCAAAGCAGAGCACACCAAACTTAACCACTAGGCCACAGAGCTGGCCCCTTAATTTTCCTTTTTTATATTTCATGGCATATTAAGATTCTCTCCTGAGACATTACTGCCTTCTCTTGTGAGAGCAACTCGCCTCAGATATCTCCTGTGTTTTTTGTGCTGATCTTCAATACTATGGTCCTCCCAATTTTTCTGTTTATCAGATATTTCTTCCTCATATATATTCTGTTCAGAAACTGACCCACTGGTTTTAAATTGTGTCTCATAATCTGAAAGAAAAAAAGGTAAGTGAATTTATTAAGGAACAAGACATTTGTGAGCAAAGAAAGACCTTGAAGACTTTAGCACTTTTGAGACTTCACCAATGACAGACATAATGGGCCAAAATCTAGGCAATTCCCTAAAGACCATCACAAGTTTTCAAATAAGAAAGCTCTCTGTGAATCAAAATGACCCACGAAGCAAAACCCACACTAATAACACTAAAGGAGCTTCAAGTATTTTAAACCCCCACCCAAGAAATAAAAAAGCCAGTTTAATACAGATTTCCATTGTCATAGAAATATCATTAGATTCTAGGTCCATGATGGCTGTGACCACGTCTGTTTTATTTACCTTTTGTATCTTTTTCCTCATTTCAAATCTTGGAACAGCACTGATGAGAAATGCTTGTTCACTAAATAAGTGAAATAATGCTGCCATCCTTACCCAGTGAGGCCAGGTTCTGGAAGGTCTCCAGCATCACATCTCTGTATAGGTTCCTCTGTGCAGAATCCAGCAGAGCCCACTCCTCTTGGGTGAAGTCCACAGCCACGTCCTCAAAGACCACTGAGTCCAGAAACATCTGTATGTGTGTGGGAGGATGGGTGAGCCTGAGAGCCCTGGAGAACTGAACTCAATCCACAGGAGGTTCAAGTAGGAGTCTGTGGTCCCCCAATATCTGCTCTGATTCTGGTCACCCTCACTTCCTAGTAGAGTTAGCAGCAGCACTAATGCTCTGAACTTAACTCTACAATTTGCTGTGACTGTTCTTGTCTTAATCCTTTCTGTCAGCAGGGTCTGGAGAGAGATGCCCTGCAAATGAAATAAACGCTTCCTCTGCAAAATGTGCAGCAGGCCTCAGCTGTCCAGACCCTGCACATCCTTCAGGACTAGCCCTTGACCAGCTCCTGGAATAAAGTCTGTAAGCCCTTGGAATACACTGCCTGATAAGAGCAGAGAGCTGGGGACTTGGGCCACGCCAGAGTTTACACTAACAACGTGATTTAGGACACATGCCTGCTTTGTCCACATGGGGCCCTGGGCATACCACATCAGCTCAACTTCTTGAGGAGCTGCACACTGAGTAGCTAATTCATTCACATGGGCCCCCATGCCTAAGTGGCTAACCCTCAATAAAAACCCCACACTCCCAGGCATGGGTGAGATCCCCTGGTTAGCAGGATTTCTCACGTTGTCACAAATGAAACTCTGTCCATTGAGAGGGGATAATTTGATATTGCAGCCTGTTTCTCCTGGATTCTGCCCTATGTGTTTTGTTCCTTTGCTAATTTTAATGTGTCCTTTCCCTTAATAAATCCTATCACTGTGTATAACCGCTTTTCCAAAATAAGTCCTTCTGTGAAATAAATGCTTCTGTGAGCCCTTGTAGTGAATCCTCAAACCTGAGATGGTCTTGGAGACCCCTGACACAGAGAACCATCAACTCCTTGTGATAAAATGTAATTCACTAGAGGGGCTATCAGTGGACTGAAACTGGCAGAATAAAGAATTAGCAAATCTGAGGACAGCCTGGTAGATTATGCAGTCTGAAGGACAGAGAGAATGAAGATACAAGAACAGAACCTCAGAGAAATGCAGGCACCGTTTCGTGCATGAAAACCTGTGTGACGGCACCACAACAAAGACAGGAGAGATAGCAGCAGGACAAACACTCAAAGAAAGAATGGCTGAAATCATCCTAAATTTATTGAAAACCACACCCTACACATCCAGAAGCTCAATGGACTCCAAAGAATAAAGCTGCAGAGAGACTGACAAACAGATACATCATAGTGGAGAGGAAAAAACCTTGAAAGCAGCAAGGAAAAGTCTTGTCATTTAAAAGGGAACCACGTTGGGCCGGCCCTGTGGCTTGGTGGTTAAGTGCGCGCGCTGCAATGCTGGTGACCCGGGTTCGGATCCCGGGTGCGCATCGAGGCACCACTTCTCCGTCCATCCTGAGGCCGAGTCCCACATACAGCAACTAGAAGGATGTGCAGCTATGACATACAACTATCTACTGGGGCTTTGGAGGGAAAAAATAAAATAAATAAAATCTTTAAAAGGGAACCACGAGAAGACCAAGAGCTGACTTCTCAGCAGACCCATGGAGGTCAAGGTAATGGGGTAATGTCTTCACAGTGTAGAGAAGAATAGAAACTGTCAACAAAGGATCTACATCCAGAAAGCTATTTTACAAAAATAAAGGTGAAATGAACACATTGGCAGATAAAGAAAAACTATTTTTTTCTCAGAAAAAGCACCGTATAAAAAACACTAAACAACTTCTTCAAACTAATAAGAATTGTCCCCAGACAGTGATTTGAATCCACATGAAAAAACAAAGTACACTGATAAAGGTAATTACATGAATGAGTGTTTGTCTCCTTTATTTTCTTAAATGATTTAAAAGCGGGTGTGTAAAATACCGTATTTATAATGTACTGTTGGGTGTATCTCACACAAGATGTTGTATATTTGTAATCTGTTTTCCAAAAACAGCCCAAAGGAGCAGGTGGGAGCAGAGCAGGTCGTGGAGAGGAAAGGGGCTGATGAGAGGTGGCAAAGTGTTAACTAACACGTGCGGTGTGGGCTTGGTGACATGGACAGATGAGATATACGTAACAACAATGCCACAGAAAGGGGGCAAAGAGCTACACAGGAGCACCGTTTCTGCAT